CTTTTTGGAACGTCTTCCCGCGGTTTTACCTTTCAAAAATGTCACTTTATTTTTACATTAAGGTGCACACCTTTAAAATAAATGATTTTGGGCCGTCTAAGTGATAGGAAGATGGATAATAATCCTGCTTTTTTCTATTTTCGCTGAGATTTGCATAACAAAGCTGGGCTGGGAATGGGCCAGGATTATCCCGCCGAGGGTCCTGAATCTCTATTCCTGGCGGCACTGGTCTATCCACAGAGGCTTATTTATGCGCGCATGCCGGCGTTAAATTGGATAATGGAAATTGGATTCGAGCCGAGGTTTTCTGGCCCAAACGAAAACGAAAACGCCCCGCCCTCGGGCCGCGTTTATAACTGAAACTTTCTGCGGCCGAGTCGATGGCACTTGACTTGATTACGAGCCCACAAGGGCAAGGCCATCAGGCGATGGCGACACGTGTGCCACGACACCTGTTGAGGTGCGAGGGCGGTGGGAAAATATTAGGAAAATTCAGGGAAAGCAGGCCATCTGCCATCTGCTGCTCGCTAACATCGCCTTATTAATATTAATGAGCATATGGTGGGGGCCAAAAGCCAACCTTCACGAGAGCAAACTTCACGTCCCCAAACAGACACCCTCATCGATGGCTGCCGACGTCATTTACGATGTGCGAAAATAAATATTTAATTATTTATAAATCATGACCTGGCCAAGCGACAATGACGTAACAGCCGGAAGCCAAAAACCCGGAATCCAGAACACAGAATCCAGAACCCGAAATCCAGAATCCAGGTGAGAACGTTTCCCTCCGCACGGATGAGCACATGCGAACGCTTTAGCCGGATTCGAATTCGGGCCAAGGTGTAAATACATAAATTATGGCAACATGTATTTAGCCGGGTCCCAGGAAATCTTTTATTGGGAGCTTAGGTTGGAACAATAAGTCAATATTGTGCAGAAGAAGTGGGAGGGAATTCCGGAAATTGGCATTGTACATAACACAATTTGGTTACGTATAAATATTTACCCAGCCTTAACCATTCAGATTACATAAAACTTTGTCAGCTACTTGTAATCACTACTTAACTATTTTAGTTAATTTTTTATCAAATATAATAGTAATTATTAAATGTAGTCAATACTAAGGAAAATGGTTAAAAAAGTTTTATTTAAAATTAATTGTGGAAAGCGAATAAAAATAGATTAAAATAAGTATAAAGAATTTAAAAAGTGAAAATAATAAACATATTAGAGAACAAAAAAAACATAATATTTCTTGCCTTTAAGCTTGGAATGCATTTTAAATGTTTATTTGCACAAAAAGAAGAATACTCTTGAAAAAACTAGAAACAAAAACGCACATTAATGAGAATATTAACTGCTCGATTGACTTATCCGGAATTCGAGCTTAGTGGGAAAAAAGTTGATTAAGTTGATTACATTTTTCCCTCGTGAACCATTCATAAAATCAATTCGGGTTTAATTCCGCTCTTTGATTAGATGCAGCTAATAACGTTCAGCCGTGAAATTCAATCCGTATAGGAGCTTTCCAAACATCCAACCATTCCGACTAATTCGCCCATTTGCAAATGAATATCTACTGCGAAAGCCCTCCAATCCACTCTGAATGATGGATGGGGAAAGGTAAGCTATTTTTGTGCATTTACCAATTAACTTGGTTGACATAAGCCGATTTGGCGTTTATTTGCGGTTCAAGAGTTGCACAACAGATCGAATGTAATTTTTAATTAAGCAAATGGCTTCCGCACTCGGAAAACCAAGAGTGCATGTGTTGGTTTTTCCGGCATGAAGACACGAAATTAGGCGTCGAAGCCTGGAAAAACAAATCAACAGAGCGAAAAGTTGAAAAGCTTGAGTGGAACTTATCCATGCACTCCACGAAGGAAGTGAAAATTTATGCCAGAGACGACTAGAACAAAGCCGAACAAAAAGATGCGGGGGGTTTGGAGGTTTGGGGGTCGGGTGGTCTTACAGATCGGAGGAAACTCTATGCATGACAATGACTTTGGCCAATGAGTGAGAAAGATAACAGCTAAAAGTTTGCCCGCCGTGCTCAGGTGGAACAAAGGCGCTGAAAACAAAAGATATTTTTCACACGAAAAAGAAATTCTATTAAATTTCGTTTCCCTTAAATTCAACAAAGCATGGCCAAGCAGCACACAATTTGAATAAGAATATAAAGTTTCTAGATCCGGCAGTAAGATTAACTTAGGTACATCTTGAAAGGTTCGATTGGTCTTTGAAACGCATCTCTTAAATTCCAATTTGCGTGCCCTGAAAAGTGAGTTTTGAATTTCTTCAACCTGTTTTTCCCTTGCATTTCTGTTGCTCCAAATAAAAACAATCGGTATCGCCTCATTAGGAGCAAACACACACGAACAGCGGTCCCTGCTGCCAATTACATTTTCATCAGTCACATGGCCATAACTCTCCTCTCCTTTTCTTCTTTTGGCCAGGTCTGGTCGAAGGCCCACAGCAGCGAGCTGGGGATGCCCGAAAACACATATCTTCCGCTCTGCTGGCCAGATCAATCGGTAGTCAAGCGTTTTATGGCCTTTGTGTGCGGGTGTGGAAGGTGGGCGGACTCTGCCAGGATGGTGCCACCATCGTCAACGGCAACATGTTTAGCAATTGATTGCTAACCTTGTTTGTCCCGGCCAGAAGCTGGCTGACGAGCGAACAGGACTCGGACATCAGCCGAGAAGCCCCACTTCTCCTTGCGACCATGGCATAATTATCGGAATATCTCTCCGGCTAATTAAGGTGTGCAGCGAACAAAAGAGTACACCAGAAACAATCGCTTCTACTCAGCAGTTTGCTTGCCAAAAGTTGTCATCTATTAAATGGCGGGAAAATGTTTTCGGTAATCAATAATGTCACTAAACTGGTAAATGAAATCAAAAATAAACTAATGTTCGGTAGTTTGCTGGTCGAAAGTCAGGAAAATTAAAGAGTGGTCAATAGTGTCACTAGCAAAATAGATATTTTAAATTAACTAGAAAGTAGTTTGGATTCTGTAGTTGTTTATTTAGTAAAAGTTGTCATCTGTCAAATGTCAGGAAAATGTTTAGTCAAATTAATTACGCCACTGAACAATTGGGAACTTTAAAACAACTCATATTAAATCAACTGGCTTACAAAAAGTTGCCATTTGTAAAATACCAGGAAAATGAAAATTTTAATGAGCTTCATTGTAATCATCTGAATTACAACAAATGAAATGAATTTTTAATACAACTTACATTCTCTTTGTGGGTTTTATATAAGTTCTGTTTTTTGTAGAATTTGTCAGACTGAAATTGGAGTGGCTTACACCGCATTTAAGTCTCCGATATTTTCAGTGCAGCAATTATGATGTGGCTGGCATAAAAGCAGCTGCATCCGGGCTAATTGAGGGGCTCAACGCAGGGGTTAAACTTTAACCCGATCGGCTGGCAAAGTCGTTAGGCCCAGCTGCTGTTGGCCCACTTGTTCCGGAAAGAGAAGGCCCATAAATTCCGTGGCGATTCACGCAGTTTATCTAACTAGGATTACGCCAATTAATTAATCAGGGAAATTCTATCTGCCTCGCTCTTGTGTTCGATGGTGGGCGGGCTTCTGGCCCTCTGGCTATTTCCTTTCTCTTGGCCTTGGCTTGTTGTTCAGTCGGTTTTCGGCCAACGTAAAACTTGGCTTCCCTTCTTATTGGCTTGTTTTTGGCCGATGTCTGCGAAAGTTTTGGCCTGGCTACTGACCGAGAAGTTTGCAACCTTCATGGGGCTGCTTAGTATATATGTTTTGTGGCTTTCTCCTGGGGCAAAGTTTCCATGTTCTTCGCCATATGGAGGACGTTTTACTCCAGCGCTTATGTTTATTCATTTTTTGACGTGCCCTGCGGGTCCTAAGAAACCTCAAAACAAATTGCTTATTAATTATGGTTCCAAGTTTGCGAAGGAAACTTTTACAAAACACTTAACAATAGTTTTCCCTTCATTTTAAAAGCTTGTTATTAATTTTTGAAAGGTTGTAAGATGTTGACTGTTTGTATATTATATATAAAATTGAAACACATTCAAAATTGTGTGGGTTGTGTGTCAGGATTTCGAAAATGTATTAAAGCCTTTCCCTATGAAAAGCTTTTGGTTCGACATAATAACTCACTGGTTTGTTTGAAGTTTTTGGACATTTCTCAATATTGTGGTTTCAGCTGAAGTCCCATCAAACCGTTGACTCGTTTCAAATTCTATTTAATTATGTTTCTGGTCCTGGCACAGACCATAAATTGAGTTTATATGAATTACGCTTCTTTTCTTCAGTCTCACGTTATGGGAAAGTTAATTGCTTGTAGTTGTTGCCGGAGCTGTCATGTATTTTTGTTGTGCAGCTCTCTCGCTGGCTTTTCCTTTATTTTTCTTTCGCCTTTCATTTTTCACCCGCCAGATAGCGAATCATTTTTTTCGCACGCCGCGCAGTGCGAAGAAGGCAAACAAGCAAACGAGCAGAATTTCATATAGTTGATTGCATTGTCTGCAGGAAGATGTTCACATCATCATGATGAGGGGGTGGCGGCGGGGCAAGCACTCTGGGGGCGGTGATGGTGCGGGGCGTGGCAGGGGAGAGCCTCATGAAATGCTGATAGCATGCGCTCAATATTGTCAGTAAATAATACGCGCTTGTTAGAGCCAGCTGCAGATGGACTAAATGCACACTGAACAAAAAGTTGGCAGGCAAATTTATGAAATTATTATTTAGGATTTAATAACCTTAAATGATAAGCGTGTTTAAAGTGTGACATAAACTTATAAGAATCTAAATAAATTTTCATACTTACAAGTACGATTCGCAATATTGCATTTTAATATCATTGCATTTTTTCTTATTAAAGATAGAACCCATCAATAAATATGCATTTGAATACGTGCATTTGTTCACTGCTCAATAAAAGTTAATAATGATGATACCGAAACCCGAAAACCGCAACTAATCAATCTCGCATCCCCGTTTCCACTCCCTTTCAGAAACCGCTGCGTGCAACATGTGATGTCACAGGGACAAAGTATGGAAGGCCTATCAAAACATTTGCCATTTAGCCGGTTTAGCAGGCATTGTCAAACGGCCAGTGGACCGCCAACTGGAAATTAGCAGGCCGTTACACTAACCGAATCGAAATGGACGGGGGGTGGTGGAGGTGTTGGCTTCCCGGCGGAGCGGAGGGCGCAAAAGCCAACATGAAAGGACACTCGACACCAAATGGGGCAGCTGCCGACCGCAGGAACATCAAAAGGGGCGGCGGGGGAGGGGGATTGGGAGGCGTGGTGTTTGGGGGCTGTGTCCATCCTGGCCTGCTGTTATTTGTGCTGACAGCGCTGACACTAACGAGCTTAATAACGCCCACAGAGCAGCTGACAGTGGCGCCAAACGGAACCACTCTGCAGCAAGTGGACCCGGCGGAGTCCTTTGGATCCTCGGCATATGCAGCCATGGCTGCCGACTTCTACCGCCGCACCAATGGCACTCTAAATGGAACGCTGGCGGCGGAGGGCAGAGCCCACCTGAACCACAGACTACGGCCGCCGCAGGAGAATGGCAGCCAGTACCTGGACTACGACGATGACTCCGGTCCGGACTGCTCGTACAGCTACAACTTCGTCCTGAAACTCATCACGATGATCCTGTACGCACTGGTCTGCATCATCGGCTTGTTTGGGAACACCCTCGTGATCTACGTGGTGATGCGGTTCTCCAAGATGCAGACCGTGACGAACATCTACATCCTGAACCTGGCCATCGCCGACGAGTGCTTCCTGATCGGGATTCCCTTTCTGCTCTACACCATGCAGGTGGGCAATTGGTCCTTCGGGAACTACATGTGCAAGGCGTACATGGTGAGCACCTCGATCACCTCGTTCACCTCCTCGATCTTCCTGCTGATCATGTCCGCGGATCGCTATATAGCCGTGTGCCACCCCATATCCTCGCCCCGCTATCGGACCCCCTTCGTCTCGAAGCTCGTGTCGGCCTTCGCCTGGATGACCTCCGTGCTCCTGATGCTGCCGGTGATCCTCTTTGCCAGCACCGTGCAGTCGAGCAACGGGAACGTGTCGTGCAACATCGAGTGGCCCGACACCCAGAACTCGCACACCGACTCCACCTTCATCCTGTACTCGCTCGTCCTCGGCTTCGCCACCCCGCTCACCTTCATCCTGGTCTTCTACTGCCTCGTGATCAGGAAGCTCCACACCGTGGGCCCCAAGCACAAGTCCAAGGAGAAGAAGCGCTCCCACAGGAAGGTCACCAAGCTGGTGCTCACGGTAATAAAAAAGCAATCAAATATGGTAATTTATTAATAGCAAAATCATAGATTAAGACAATAGAAGCATTAACATTTTGTAAGATTTTAAATTGTTGTTCAAGTTGAGAAGTAAGTATTTCAATTATATGCTTCTAAGAAATGCTTCTTAGAACCAAAATTAATAAATAAACCAAAAATATAACGAAATTGTATAAAGTAAAATCAGTGAATTAAAAATGTAGATTGATTTTTCCAACATTACCTTAAGTTTTTAAATAAATTTTTTATTAATTTATGGATCTTATTAATTTTTACCAATTGCAAACTTATATTTAGCCCTTAAATTTGACTATTTATGAATTATTTCAATTATATAAAATAGATTTATTGGCTGAAAACACAATAATATTTGTATATATTTAATCTGACATTCCCTACTTTACTATATTACAGGTTATTAGTGCGTACATATTTTGCTGGCTACCCCACTGGATTTCTCAGGTAACTTATTTTAATGCAACTAATAGTTTCTACATCGAATGCAATACAAAAATAGTTTTATATTGGTCCGTGTCACTTGGCCCCTTTAAAATCTTTGCAAGTATTTTGCGTTGCATTTTTAAGGGTTTGAGCAAGGCACCCACCCCTACTGTTCTAAGGCATTGTAAAAATAATTCAAATCCACTTCAACTCTGCGGCTTCTCAGGTGGCTCTGATCAGCTCGGCCCCGCAGCGTTGTGCCTCCCGCCTGGAGCTGGCGGTCTTCCTGGCCTGCGGATGCCTGAGCTACTCGAACTCGGCCATGAACCCCATCCTGTACGCCTTCCTCAGCGACAACTTCAAGAAGAGCTTCATGAAGGCGTGCACCTGTGCGGCGCGCAAGGACGTGAATGCCCAGCTGCAGCTGGAGAACAGCTTCTTCCCCAAGTTCGGCAAGGGCAGGCAGTCGGAGCGGCTGCTCGGAGGCGGGGGGAAGGGTGGTGCTGGCCAACGGGGGGCGATGGCCAAGAAGAAGGCCTTGGCGGCGAGGAACAATAACGCTCCGATGGCCACGACCACCACCACGACGACGACCACCGCCGCGGGCACGGATGCGGTTACCTGCCTCCAGCCGGCGGTGCTCCAGGTGCCCGCCGAGATCCAGGTGGGCGGCAGTCCGGCCACCGTGCTGGTGGTCAACGCCGAGACCAACAACTGCAAGCCCCCCGTGCTCCACACCGACTTATAAGACCCGGCTCCCTCGATGCCCCTCGAAGCGGTGGTGTTCATCGCCCGCAGATGAGACCTGCAGATGGAACTGGAACTTCACTCGGTGGAGGATCATCGCCAGTCGGAGTGCTTGCTGTAGGTTAACCATTTACTGGATTGATATTTTATAATACTAGGGAAGAGCTAAGCGAAAACGGGGAAAAAACAATAGGATATCTGGAGGGTGGAATCTCAGATTAAATATACATTTAAGAAACCAGAAAACAAGGAACTCCTTTTTATAGCAAACTAATTATCCCAAGTTAAATAGCATTTTTAATTAGTTTTTTTAAGATTCTTATTTATATTATTATCTAGCAATACAAGTAGTTTTGTAAACTTTCAAAAACATTTTTTTAATAAACACAATTTATATTACAACAAGTAAGATAAAAAGAAGATTAAAGAAGTATTTTTGTAATGAACAATATTTTGCCAAATTTATATAAACCTTTTAAAACAGTTTTTGACAACATAAATATAAAAGTCAGGAATTTTTTAAAAGGGTAGCTGAATTTGCTTATAGAACAAATTAGTTCCATACAACCATTTAAGTTTTATACAGTTGTTCATAATTTAAAAATCTAATAAACAAATATTAAATCTAACGGGGTAACAAGAAATAACTCATATACCATATTTTTACCGTTTTCGCATTGGCAAGCTTAGCAGATAAGTATTTATATAAGATTTCCTCGTTATTCAGTGTGCGTATTGTCGTTTTCAAGATTACATACTCTGCTAGAATTAGCTTGATAATCTTTTTAAGTCGAAGAGTAAGAGTAAAAGTACATAAATGTGGCTGGTTGTGGAGCAGTTGGAAAATGAAAAAAAATATCAAAGTAGGCCAAAGATTAAATCTTTATGTTCAAGGAAAGACTTTGACGAGCGGCAAGTTTAACTTAAATCATTAAATTTGCCATAAGTGAATGAAAACGAAAAGAATTCCAGAAATGCAAATTGTTCCATTGGAAATAAAACTTTAAAAGTATTCAATGAAAAACTCTTTAAATCGAATTAAAATGCAATGTGATTGTAAAAAATTAAACTTGAACAAAACTACTGGAAAATTTGCATAACAATTCACTACAGTAATCTTAAATGAAATTAAATTAACTACGTACATATATTGTAATTTACATTAAGCTGAGCGTTTTTTAAACAGATGAATGCAATGAATTAATTGTGCATCAAATGATAATAACCGGATTCAATGAATGTTAATATAAAGATACTTGAATTGTTGCCATAAATATTTAATAGTGTCGAAAAGATAGCGAACAAATACAATTACAATAGATTCCGACTTCATTGTTTTAATGTTTGCGCAAAATAGTTTCACAACAAAACTGTTCAAACAATTTCAGAGTAAACTTGTATATTTATTTGACTTGATTATTGCAAACAATAGCCAGAATAATCGTTAGCGAATGTGGAACATCAACTAATTCCACATGGTGTATTTGTACTTTTAAAAGTAAACTTAGGCTAATCAGTACATTTAACAAAATATTGAGATGTGTATTTATTAACTGTCATACAAATACAGGAAACTAAAACGAAACCAAAAAGATAATTGTAACATTTTTCAATTTTAAGTGTAACTTGATTGAAAGCTAAACGTATTTGCTATAAATAAATGTAAGTGAAATTTAAGTGCTTAAAAATTGAAATACAAATAAATAATATTTTAAATGAATTCCCAAACTCCGAAAGAATTTTTCCACATCGTTTAAACAGTATCCAATATAATTGTTTGTTTGTTTTATCTTGGAACTCTTTTGTTTGCCATGATTTTATACTTCTCTGATTGCTTGGTCGAGTGTGATACATAAACACAATCACATATACATTGTTGGTGAAGGGTTTCCATTTGAAATGGAGACAAACAACAGGAAAATGGTCAACAAAAAAACAAAAACTATTTTCATGCTTCGTCTAATGTGCCATTTTTGGCCATCTCCAACAATTGCCGGATACAAAAGCAGTACAAAACGGGTGTGCGTAAGGTGAAGCTGGAAGATTCCAAAGAAAATGCTATGAAAAACTTCACAGCATATAATAATGGCACAAAAACCGAAAGAAAGAAAAATAAAGGAAGCTACATAAAATCTTTAACTGACAGCAAAGAAATTGCAGTGGCAGGCATGACGACTGGATGGGAAAACTACAAACAGGGCAATGACTTTTGGCCAGATGGCTGAACTGAAGAGCAAGAAAATTAAAAATATGTTTCGCATGCTGAAGAACAATATTTTTTTAAGGCATTGCCATATAGAAAGTTAAACTAGGAAAAAAGATTTAATATTCACAGCTAGTACCACATTGCACTTGAATACCTTGACTTTAAGAAATCTTTACTTCTGTTTCTAGTTTAGTTTTCCAATTTTATTAAGTTCAGATTGGTTCTTAAAGCGACTGATATTTTCAAATCATGCCAAAAATATTCAGCAGGAATAATTCATCAAAGGATAAAATCAAATATTTTCTTTTATCGTATTTTTATTCGAGCAAGTTTGGACAGACACCTTTAGTTTTTTTTTCGATGCAACAGAGGGATAGTTCTCGATTTGACTTGCTCTTGGAGAAGGTCATGTACATAGGTGGCATATTGATGGCTCGAACTTCATTGTGAGGCATTGCAGGATCCAAAGATGGGGAATTATGTGCACCCCGGCTGCATTTTGATGCAACCAGCCATATGCCCGGCAACTTGTAGAGTTTTAATGGGAAATCGCAGACCAATGCAAATCCCCTGCGAGCACGAGGCCAGTTGAAGTTTAAGGTCAGGGCAGCGCTGGAAAAGCACTTACAACTTATTGCCATATTGATGGAAAAAGTCAGCTGTCAGTTGAATTATGAAAGCAGCTCCCTCCGATTTCGATCGCTATCTGTGCACTTTCAAAGTCAAAGTCAGATGGGAAAATCTACAGACGAATTGGTGTTTGTGTAGCCGTGGTGCAGACTTCAAAGAATTGACTAGTAAATCGTGCATATTTTGACCTAATTTATTCGCGGGTATACACGAAATCAAATTAATGCTTCACACTTCATAAATCGGACACTGAAAATGAACAGAAAAAAGGGCGCCCAGCTGAGGTAGATACGATTCTCATTCGAGACTAAAAATACAACCAGGTCGCTTTATAAATACATTAGCACCTCAATCAGTCGGATAATGACGTTGGCCAAACAAATACCGCTTTTGAATACACATTGCATTGAATCACTAAAAAAAAACGAAGGCGTAGCCAGGTGGATCGTGCCAGACGCAAAAATAATACACCTATGAGGCTAATAAAATAAACATTAAATGCGAATTTAAATAAACGATTCGTACCTATTGAACACCCCGTTGCCTAACCGATCGATTTGGTTGGTTATCTATAATTAAAATACAAATATTATCAGATTATGATATTTAATTTCAATTTAAATTCAAATATTTTCAGATTTTCAGATTAAATATCCTAATGTGGCAATCTCAATCACCAATAAAATACACATTTAATGCAAATTTGTCTACAAATGAAATAATGTCGATGGGGGCAGCCACAAAAGCGGTTAAGCAACTTTAAGCTATTCATAATTTCCCCACTGACACTTGCAGCCATCGAGGTGGGCGGAAATGGGGCTGCTTAACCCTTTCTTGCCCGAAACAGCCACGAAGGAAATTGCGCAAATTTCGCCACCAAATTGAAAAGTTCTCGAGCGTTTTCAGCCACTTCCCCGGTCCTCTTGTGTGCACTCCATTTGGCTGTGGCTTTCTCTCTCGTTCGGGCTTCTGGTTTATGTTTTATGATTTTTCCTTTTGTTGCTGCTTGATGATTGCCACGATTCCGATACTTGGCTGGGCAAATTGAAAGTTTTTCCGCAATTTTTGTTCTGTGGCCACTCGAGCGTTTGGCATTTTCGCACACTAAAACTATTTTCCTACAGCTCTGCTGCCCTCTTATCCCACTTCGTGGCATTTGCAAATTGCTGAAAAGTCCAAAGTCGTTGACTCGGACCGTATATTTCCAAGGAGCTGCTTCTTTAGTTGTAGTAATTGGGGCCCAAAATGCATTTTCGTTCAAATCCTGGGTTTCGTTTTAAGACCAAAACGTAGCAAACTTTCAATGACTCAGAAACCAATTTGATAAGCCTTTGTACGAGTTGAAATACTTTGGCATCTGGGCATTCGGGGAGGCGGAAGGGGACCCCCGAATGATTGATGATTAAGTCAGTTTCCGAAAAGTATTAACAGCAAAGCATAAAAAATACATCTGGGATGCTGAGCGAAGTAACAGTAGGCTTTTAGATGCTCTTTAGATGATTAATAAATTTACTATTATAACTTTTAAGAGTTCTGGCTTGTAAAGCATAGAGTTAAGTCAATTGTCATTGTTATTTTATTTATAAAAGCTAAAAGGTTACTTGCTTATAAAAGAAATTACATTATATAAATTATTCTTTTGCCTTGTAGCACCATATTTTCAGGTTTTATTTTTTGTTACTTATTTATGTCGATAATAATAAAAAAGTATTCACAAACATAACTTTACAAAACTTCGCGTCCATTTAAATGTACAATTATACCTATCATTGAGTTTTAAAATGTTTACATTAAGGTTGAAATAAATTAAATTTATATAAATATCGAATAAATAAATTACATCTTGGATTTTATATTTTATTATTTCATAATTTTTATAATATTCTTTCCGTATCTAATCGAATGCAGCAATCATATTAACCTCCCGAAGGGCTTCTCCCTTTGTAAACAACAAACACGCAGCGGGCATAAAAGTCAAACTCGAATCGATCAACATTTTTGTAGCGTTTTTTCGACAAAGATGATGATGAATATACGAAAGAGGAGAGATTAGGGCACCAAGCGGCAAATAGATGGAGCACCCCCATGGTCAGGCAGCTTCTTTCGTAAACAACGCCACATGCCGTGGATTCCCCTTCGCTTTCCTGCTCCAACTTCCCTCTTCCCGTTGCCATTCCCATTCCCTTATTTATGCTCAACTCTTGGGCCATAAAAATGGCTGAAATATGCTGCTCATATACATATACGATATACGATATATGAAGTGTTCTCATCCAGGTCGTGGTCTGCTTTTAGGCGTCACCAGGAAGAGGCGGGAAAAGCAAAGGAGTTCCAGCAAGGACAAGTAAATTACTAGCCAGCGGGTAAGCATGGCTCCTCCACTCCCCTGCGATTGCCTCAACCGCCTTAAGGTTGTACTGAAAAAATTCTACCCGTATAAGAATATGTAAAAAAGTACAGATATTAAAAAAAAAGTATGGTATCTGTAACTATTTACTGACTAGATAGTACTAATCCCATTTAAGACGGCATATAATAGTTACGCTAGTAAGACCGCAAAATAGTTTTTAGAATTTTTATCATATATGTATCTAATAACTTATATCGAGTATACGTCTAGTATGTTTAATTATTAAGTTCGGAATTATGTAAAGAGTGTTTATTTAGCAGAATTTACTTTCAGTGAGCGCCTGGCCCGGACTGGCCATCAATTATAACAAGTGCTCGGCCAGTACAAATTGAAGGCGTAAATTAGCCCTGTCCCCGGAAACCGTCAGAGGGCCTCGTGGCAGACTCGGCCTCAAGTGAAGTGGCTGGACGGCCACTCCCTGGTCGAGTGGGTGTCAATTGTGCTTATTGAAAAATATGGCACGCTGTCGGGAATAGGCAATCGCCCCAAGGAGATCCATGAAAATGTCTCTTTAAGCCAACCGGGTTCCGGGAAATTCCGGGAAGGCATTACGGTTTAGGGTTCGCCTAAGCCACAAAAGCCGAATGGCAAACAAGAAATCGTTTTTCGTCTCGAATTTCAACGCCCAAAGATAGCATCTTAATTACCCGTCCACACACGCAGTAGGGCAAAAAAAGATGGGAAGACTGGGAGACAAGTCAATGACCTGGTTGGAAAAACCCGATGGCGGTCAGCTCTACTCGAATATGGCCC